ATATATATATATATATATATATATATATATATATATATATATTCTGTCAAAATAAAACAGAAGAAAGATCACAGATAAAACTTGACCTTTAAATAAAACATCAGCTACTTGACAGGGCAAAATCCTGCCAGAATAAAAACTGTCTTCACTAGCTGGCAGAAGATAGGAATAAACAGATCTGCCCTCCATGCATGCTTTATGCGAGAGGTGTTACACAAATAAGATAATAGCCTGTTTCAATATAAAAAGAAAGGTAGGGAGTCTGAGAGTGCCAGCATGGCATAGTGGATTTTAGTGTTGCACTACAACTCTATAGACCAGGGTTCAATTCCCAGCTTGGTCATGAAACACACTGGGTGACCTTGACCTTGAGCAAGTCACATGCTCTCAGCCTCAGGGAAAAGCAATGGCAAACCTCCTCTTAATAAATCTTGCCAGGAAAAACCCATAATAGGTTCACCTTTGTTGTTAGCTGTCCTTGAGTCAGCCTTGACTCATGGTGACCTTTTGGATGAGACATCTCCAAGACCTTCTGTCCTCCAATGCTCTGCTCAGGTTTTGAAGTCCCTGGTCTCTGATTGATTCTAACCATCTGACATGTGGTCTCCCTGCTACCCTTTACCTTTCTTAGTATTATTGTCTCTTCTAATGATTCATACCATATCTTGATGTGGCCAAAGTACAACAGCCTCAATTTTGTGTATAGGAACGGAAGGGGACTGGACAAATGGACAAACACACAAAGCCCATACATGATCGATGCATACACTTCAATATTCAATACACACATCCTTTCCAATAAATCACACCAATCATGACAGAACCATGCCCATGGATTGTGATACCTTTGCAGTAATTGCTCCACATCTTTGTTGGTTTCTGTAAGTAGTATTGTGTCAGATGCATATTTTGGGTTGTTAATGTTTTTTCCTCACATCTTCACTTTTCCTTCATCTGAATCTAAGCCTGCTCTGCATACGATGTTTTCTGCATACAGGTTGAATAAATAGGCTGATAGTATGCAGCCTTACCTGACCCCTTTGCCAATTGGGAACCATTCTGTCTCTTTCATTCCTCCTTCATTCCTACCCTCCTCCCTTTTTTGCGTCCTAGTCTCACTCCCCTCAGGTCTATCCTCTTTTAAGCTTCTTACTCTCATTCTCTCCTAGCTGTGGTGTCTCTGATGGCAGTGAGAATCAAGCATCCTCCTTAGGGTCACTTTAGGATTGCCATAATTCAGAAACAGTTTGAAGGCACACAACACAACACACACACAGGAAGGATTTTAGAGAATGTTAGAGATAACAGTGTTTCTCACAAGCAGACTAATTAGTATTCACAAGCATGTGAGCAACAATCAGTCCCACATGAACACCATAACCCATCCACCCCAAATCTAAGCCTGTTGCCACACTGCAGGAATAAAGCAGTTTGACACAAGTTTAACTTCCATGACTCAATGCTGTGAAATTCTGGGATTTGTAGTTTGGTGGGGCACCAGAGCTCTCTGACAAGAAGTCTAAATTCTCACAAAACTGTAAATCCCAGAATTCCATAACATCGAATCATGACAGTTAAAGTGGTGTCGAACTGCTTTATTTCTGCAGTGTAGGTACATCCTAAGGCAGGTTTAGTCTTATTTGTAAAAATGTGTGAAGTAGGTTAACTTACAAATACTAACGGTTCATCACATCTCATAGTGAAGGGCTCTGTGCTTTTCAAATATGGAATAGAAAGGAAGAACTGCAGAATACAAAACAGAGGATAAATAAACTCATGCTAACTGCAAATTATCTAATACAAGAAAAGGTATGGCTGAGGCCAACAAACAAGAAAAGGCATGAATACATGCTATGCTTAAATTCGTAAACAAGTAATTACTGAATATAAGCTTGCTAAGGTTACTGTCTGACAGAGGAGTCTTGTGACACATTTAAAACTAGCCAGTTTATTTTAGCTTGCAATTTCATGGATAGCAATCTACTTCCTCAGGTGTGTTAATGGACTACAGTGTTCAAGTGTTAGGTAAATAAGCACAGTTTGATAGTTTTGAGGGATGGGATATAGAGGAAGTCAGTTGTGACTCTGGTTCTTAAAGATTTATGACTAATGTTATTCTTGTCTTTTTCTGTATCTCATTTCACTATGATCTCATCCCTTCCACAACGTAACTATGCTATATACCTGATGTATGAATATTCTGAATATTGTACAGGTTGAGCCTCCCTTATCCAAAATTCCAAAAACCAAAATATTTCCCAAAATCCAAAATTGTCCACATGGATGGCTGAGGTAATGATACTTTTGCTTTCTGAAGGATCAATGTACACAAACTTTGTCTCATATTTAAAATATTGTGTATAAAATTACCTTCATGCTATGTGTAGTAGGTTTATATAAAACACAAATGAATTTCATGTTTAGACCTGGATCCCATCTCCAAAATATCTTATTATGTATATGTAATCCAAATCCAAAACACTTCTGATCCCAAGCATTTTGGATCAGTCTCAATCTGTACTCTATCAAAGCATCTCAGAAAGTGGATTATAGATACCTGTGTTGCACCATGTTGATGCATTTAACACTCTATACCAGCTGTTTTCAAACTTCCTACTTTCAAAATCTCCCTCCCACATTGAGTTGACTGCTGAAAAATCCCTCCATGATGTTGCAGAAACTCAAAATGTAGCAGAAATTTCTGGAGCATGTCTTTCAATTTGGCAGCATGTCAGGATAACAAAGGAATGCCTAGGTCTCATTCACCCTGTCTGCCATGATTTTATCTTCTCTTGCCTGGTCCAGTTGTATGTACAGCAGTACTGGTGGTATCCATTCTTTAATAGAAAAAGGGAGGTCATATCCCAAATTAACCTTATTCCACATTAGTGTTATAAATGCACTTCAAGAGGGAGGATCCCTATAGTGTGAATCCCAGAAGTAACCAGGGATAACATTACTTAGACCAGTGAAACTGAGTGATTGGTGTTGGTGCTGAAGATGGTGGAGAAGAGGTTTTCCTGCCTTTCTCCATGTGACCTTTCCCCAAACCAGTGGCATCTAGACATGTGTAACCAGGTTGCTGAGGGGGGTGCTTTACTGTTCTGACTTATGGAAAGAGATTCTACATGAGGGTTGTGTAGTGTAGATCTCCCCATGTGGAGTTACACATTGTACTCCATGACCCTTCAGTTGATTGTCCACATTGTACAACTGAACATGTTACCAAATGCACAACATAGTATGCACCTTCAATGTGCAACCTCCACAGTTTTGAACTGAATCTGGACATTCAGTATTGGACAACTTACACATGGGAACTTACACATGCATAAAACACCAATAGGATTCCAGCCATGGTCAGTTAAAGTTTTAAATGCCTTTTTTAAAAAAAGACAATTAAAAATGTTACTTGCAAAAGAGACCTCCATGGAGAAGACTAGTGTAAAGAATGTATATCCCCATCCCTGCCTTCTATAGAGCAGACCCATAGATAAAATGTGCATGGCTGACTGAGAGCTCACTGGATGACATTTTTGAAGGCCCTGGAAGGCGAGGAGCTGCAGAGGCTTCATCCCAACCATGAACATGTGGACAGAAGTTCTGATAAAATCAGTGGACATAAAGTGTTAGTGCATCCCAAATGTGGATAGAAGAGGCCACTCAGTTTTTACCAGTTGATCCTCCTTTCTTACCTTACTAGGGAGCCCTGATGGCAAGTGGCTATATGCCTGTACTGCAGCCACTCACTAACCACAAGGTTGTGAGTTAAATACCAGCTAGGGGCTCTGGGTCAACTCAACCTGGCTTTCTTCTGTGGTCGCTAAAATGAGTACCCAACTTGTTGCGGGCAATTAGGTTACACTTTGTAAACTGCTTAGTACATTGGTAAGCGGTATAGAAATATAATTACTATTCAACAATGTGGAGAGTTAAAAGGGTACATAACTCTTCCCATCAGAGAAGTGGTTGCCAAAAGGTAGATAGACCAAATTTGATACGTTCAGTCATTTCCTTGACTTCTCTTTCTCCCTCCCTCCCTGCCTCCATCACAATTTGGAAGCCCATTCAGCTTTGTATGCAAAGAGTTCCTTCATGTCTCTAATAAGCACCAATACTTTCTCGGCCCCAGACAGATGGGACAAAAGCTCCAGCTTTGGGCAAATCTGGAGGCTTGGCGTTCAGATAAAGCACATCCCCAGATTGGGCCAAAGCCGCAATGCATCTGCCTAAGGTGGCCCAAACCCAGCCGCAAAAAGAGTGCAAAAGAAGTGTTCCTTGCCAGTGGTCTGCTGTGGACTGCGGTGGCAGCCAGCCTCAGGAGCATGATGTCTGGTTGCGCTTGTGGTTGGAGGCCAGAGGCCGCTCCAAGCTGCCCATTTACTTGAGGCCCTATTCACCCTTATTGTGAGGACCATTCTGTACTTCCTTTCATTTTGAAAGCCATTCTTGGCTGACTTCATAGCTTTCCAAAGTTCTTGTATACCTCTGCCCCTTTGACCATTAAGACAACTTACGAATGTTTTCCTTATTCATGACTTTGTGTTACAACAGTGGGACATTTGGTGGGGGAGTAAATGGCATGTACCAGAACAATCCCACCCACAAGACTTTGGGTAATCTGTTCCTATTTGTAGTTGACCCAGGCCAGCATGTAGGCATCCTCTAGGCCTCAAAAATCCATCTGGATTGTAAAACAAGCTTTAACTCCTAGAGATGTGATAAATCAGTCCTTTGTTTATTTATTTATTCTTTTTTTTATTGGAAGCTGATGCTCCTAAGAAATGCCAACATTTAACCTGTCATTGTATTCCTTCATTTTATTTTAATTTTAAACTTTGTATTTCAACTCAGCCTTGCCACTGTTTTTGTTGTTAACATTTTACTGCAGTTCTCATTTCTCATTTCTCAATACAACATAAACATGCATTTCCCATTAATTAAGCCTTCCTGACAAATAGCCTTCGAGTAGTTGTTTAAAGATCTCTGAAGAAGGAGAATCCACTACCTTCTGAGGTAGTCTGTTCCACTGTCAAGCATCTCTTACTGTCAGGAGGCTCTTTGTAAGGTTTAGGTAGAATCAGGACTGGCCCTGCCCATCAAACTTGCCTTAACCAGCATTTATAATGCCTTTCTTAGAAGAAATGTTGCCTGTTACCTTTCTGTTAGCTATCATTATATAGGGTCTACCTCCATATAGTAAGGTGCCATATCTTTTTCAAACAACTGGTGTATTAGTACATGTTGAGTTTCCCTTATTTAAAATGTTTGGGACCAGAGGTTTTGTAAATTTCAGATTTCGTAATCTTTGCATATACATAATGCATATACATCTTAGAGAAT